AAAGAAGGAAGAAAAGAAAAGAAAATGGTGACAGAACAATATCCTTTGCAGTAACTGAAGTGGTTAACACTGTAATTTGCTGTAATTTCATTGTTGTTTTCAGGGGCAAAGATATTCATATTGTTGTTATTACTGTGCTTTATTTGCAAAATATAAAAAAACAGTAAAAACTCTTTCTTGTAAAGAGTATAATTTACCTCAAAAGGCTTAAAATTTGCAAAGAATTTAGTAAAATATGTGATGGCACAGAAAAAATGTTTGAAAATACCAGTCTAGATGACAAAAGTCAAAGTCTGGAAGTGATTGAAAAGATGCAAAACGTTTCAACTTTTGTGTAACTTGTAGAATTCTTAATAGAGAGATCAGATTAGTTCACTATCTGTGTCACATGTTTCAGCTCCAGCAGACAGTGAAGATGAAGAGCTGCTGACTGTACCGATCCTGCCGTTCCACACTGGAGAGGTGAAGTTCACCGAGGTGTACATTCAGGGTGAAGATTACGACAGCGAAGAAAACGCCCTGGATTTAAAGAATTTAACAGCAGAAGATTCAAGTCCGAGCTCTGAGCTCAACGCAGACGAGTGGTTACCAAAAATGAAGTCAGGTAAGAAGAGAAGAACTGCTCTGAGAACAGCTGTTGACTTCACATCAACCCACTGTGTTCTTCTGTGTTCTCCCCAGGTTCTCTGTCACGTTCCTTCATCTGCCCCCTGTGTTCCTTTGTTCACCACATCAAGAGGAAAGTTCAGGAGCACATTCAGAGTGAGCACCAACTCTCGTCCTCCGCCACAGAACAACAGTTAGCCAGAAAAGACAAGGCTCAGCAGAAAAGACAAAGCTCAGATGGTGAGGAGATAAAAGAACAAGGCCAAACGAACAGGAGAGGAAATCCTGCACCAAAAGACGAGTCTGAAACCAAAAAAACACGAAAGCAAAAGAGAGAAAATATAAGGAGAACGGAAACGGGAGGCCTGGAGGACCGGAGGTTTCTGAGCTCCAAGACTGTCAACAAAAAAATCACAAAGGGAGAGACCAAATGTGTGAAGTGTGAAAAGGTTTTTGAGCACCCCAATCAACTCAAGACACACATGAAGCTGCACACCTTTAAGCATCAGTGCAGCCAGTGTGAGAAAGGATTCATCAGCTCCTCGGGGTATTATCAGCACCAGAGACTCCACAAGAAAGGACGGATATTCACCTGCAGCCAGTGCAACAAAGGCTTTCTGTGTAACTATTCACTCAAGCAGCATGAGCGCCTCCACCAGGGCCCCTCCCACCTGTGCACCATCTGCGGAAAGAGATTTAGCGGCGCAGGCATTCAGAGACACCTCCAGATGCACAGAGGGGAGAAGAATTATCTCTGCACGACCTGCGGGAAGTCCTTCTTATCTTCCGGGGAGCTTCTGCTCCACACCCGCTCTCACACGGGCGAGCTGCCGTACACCTGCACTCAGTGCGGGAAGGGTTTCTCCTGCAAGAGCCACCTGACCGTCCACATGCGCTCACACACAGGAGAGCGTCCGTACATGTGCTCGGAGTGTCCCAAGAGATTCCTCACTCTGAACTGCCTGAAGAGACACACGCTCAGCCACAACGGAGTCAAACCGTTCAAGTGTCCGAGCTGCGAGAGAGAGTTCTCCCAGCAGGGGAATCTGAAAAGACATTTGGCAACACATAAACACGATTCATGATGTGCATCAAAATGTCTTTATATGTATATGATCCCTGCAGCTGTTGATTCCTGGAAGTTGGGAAAATACAAAATATTAAAAAGTGAAGATTTCTACCTGTTTTAGTGGATTCTTTTATGTTTGTCTTTGTTGTGCTTTAGACCAGTGGTCCTCAGTTGTTTTCTGTCATGCCCCCCCTTGGGGACAGAAATGTTTTCACGCCCCCCCCGCCCCCCTCTGACCCAGACCCTGCGAATGAAAATACTATTAAGAACCTGATAACATGTTTACAGTATTTTTATCTGTACAAACCACTGTATGAGTTGCTGCCACCTAGTGGCTGGAGTCTTGTTATCATTCAAGCCCCCCCCACCATTTGAGAAGTACTGCTTTAGACTGAGGCAGTGGTTCCCAAAGTGTGGGGCAGGGTCCAATGAGGGGTTAACAGCTTGCACATGGGTGCAGCCCGTCGAGGGGGCGGG